TTTTTCACTACAGTGTTTCGACCAATATGGTCATCAGGTGTTTAAAATCTTAGTTGAGGAAATTGCTGTGCTTCTGTTATATTGGCTTTCATTATTAATATATTGTCCCCTCTATGCGCATGTGTATTCGAAGTGACGGGTTATATGGTCCCCTTTATGCGTATGTGTATTCGAAGTGACGGGTTATATGGTCCCCTTTATGCGTATGTGTATTCGAAGTGACGGGTTATATGGTCCCCTCTATGCACATGTGTATTCGATTCGAAGTGACGAGTTACATAGTCCCCTTTATGCGTATGTGTATTCGAAGTGACGGGTTATATGGTCCCCTCTATGCACATGTGTACTCGAAGTGACGGGTTGTATGGTCCCTTCTATGCACATGTGTATTCGAAGTGACGGGTTACACGGTCCCTTCTACGCGCATATGTATTCGAAGTGACGGGTTATATGGTTCCTTGCATGTCATTTGTACTCGAAGTGACATGTTCTTCTTGTTGTGTTATGCTGTATAAGATTTTTCTGTTCTACACAGTGTCCAGGCCGGCTATGGATCACACCCAGCCTCCTACCCAACGCGTAATGGTTATTCTTTCCACGTGTGTAATGTGACCAGAGCGTGAAGCTGACTACACACCTCCAGCTACTTCCAAGGTCAAGAACTGTAGAACTATACCTCTAGTCTTTATATGTTTTCAGGGTATGGAGCTTAATTAATCAAGCAAAGGGGGTTACTTTACCTTTTACTCAATTCCACTGCAAAATTAATACAATTTATTCATTATATATATACATATACATATATATATATATATACAAAAATATGTAATATGATTAAAAAGCAAAACTTTCTGTGAAAAGGAAAGTACTGGCCTTCAAATACGGGGAGCTTGGAATCAATAATACAAGTGACATTTAGAGAGACCTGATGCAACCCTATACACGTTCTGTGCAGACTAAGCTTGAACCAACTTTCCAAGCGTGGAGCAGACTGGACTGAATTTAGTACAAAATGAGGAAATGCTCCCCCTCCTTGGTGTCTCCACCTTATCGTGGTGAGGGGGTTTGAGTATGCCAAGGACCCTGAGAGCTATACCAGCGGTAGCGTAGCTACTGGCAGGGCCTCCCTTGCTGGACAGGTCAAAGGGTAGGCATCAGACGAAGAGAGACACCAAAAACTGATGTCGGAAGCAGCGTCATCAGCAGCGACTTGAAGCACAGAGCAAATGATGCTCGAGATGGTTCAAGTTCGTATAGCAACAGGCGTGACCAGAGTGGTTTGAACGGCTGTTGTACTGCGATGTGGAAAGCAAATGGAAAAACTACCACATTATCACTTTTCCTGGATAGTCTCTTTCCAAAAACAGAAGATCGCATTAAGTGGAGAAACTGTTTTGGAAGAGACTGTGGACCTGTCGCCTGACAGATTACTGATGATGATGATGAGGAGGAAATGCTGGGACTGAGAAGAATATATCCGCTTTAGTTTTTAGCTGGTCAGTTTACCGTGTTATTCCTATACTGGCTTTTGTGAAAAATGTAATGAAACTTCCGGTTCCATTAAGGGCGGCGAATTTCTCGACTAGCTGAGCAACAATCAGGTTTTAAAGAATTGCTCTTCTTCACAGAATTGGTTGTTTACATGATCCTGTGTTTTAAGACCTCAAAGAGATAACCTCGAAGAATGTTATTTTCTGAGATATGGCGCCGTACAGTCTGGTAAGAAGTTTACTGAAGCAACAGAGGAACGCGATATCACTATATTCAGGGTCAGATAATAAGGCAATTAAGATACTATTAAGAAAAATATCATCTGCTTTACTCTTGCTTGCTTGCTTGGCTTTCTCTTTAATCCTGAAGATGGAGGCAGTACATTCCTCCGAAACGTTAGTTAATTTCTATGAGGCCATGCTACGCTACATTCCAGAATACACCTTTCTAGTCACCGTCATGTAAACTGAAAATATCATACGAGTATAATTCTCCCTCTGCGTTGCTTAGAAGTCTGATAGAAGATACAACTGCTGTACATACAAGTGCTACTTATATCGCTGAACCCCATTCTATTGATACCATTTAGTTTGTACTTAATTTAGAAATATGAGAAGGGAAGACTAAATTATTATTTTTTAATATTATCCTCATTACCATCATCGTAATCACTGTAATTTTCTCGTTTAATTACGTTAGCGTGATCGCCTTGTATTGTCTATTTTAGAGTCCGTGTGTTTTTTCTTTCGTTGCTAATTCCTGCTTTATAATTGGTCCTTGGTCTGTTGAGTACGCATGTAAATAAATAAATAAATTCAGTTATAATTATTATCATTTTCCTTTTCCATTTTAAATTCCTGTTAACCTTTTATCTTTTTGTTATTTTTATTGCTAGTGGGGTGGGACTAAGTCCCTTGTACTGCGGCCACTTCTGGCCTATTGTACCATCCCCAGATGATAGGTGAGGGTGATTGTGGAGCAATTGGTGGAATGAAGATTGGCAGGGGAAACCGAAGTACTCGGAGAAAACCTACTCCAGCTCCACTTTGTCTACCACAAATCCCACTTGACCAGACCCGGGATTGAACCCGGGCCGCCGCGGTGGGAAGCCAGAGACTAACCGCTCGAGCTAAGGGGGGGCCTATGTTAACTCCTAAGTCATCTCTAGAAATAACACTTCTAAACTTTATTCAGAAGATACCCGATTCGAACCTAGATCGAAACACCAACATTGATGACTGAGGTTTTGTTTATTTTTAAAAATATTTCCATATAAATACGGAAAAAATTACCTAAAATTAGGTCACGACCACTTCAACCTACATTATTTATAATTTCTCATTCAGTAATCAATTCACCGTCCCACTCCACATAGTCGTATCTTTCATGATACATAGCCCTCAGATGAATAAATTAGTAAGTTCTTTAAGTGAATATTCATTGTATGTTTCTCTAAATTATATTTGTGAATAATACGATTATCCACCATCATAAAGCAGCTAAGGTTTTTTCCCCACTTAATAGCAGTAAGGAGAAGTCAGTTTGTTGACTGTTTATATTCCCTTGGATCGGTTTCAGAAACTTATCTCATTTCCGCACAGGAATATTAGTACCAGAACTCTGACGTAATGGACGCGAGATTACACAGAGTATGACGGGGAAGTTTCTAAGGAATCAAAGCTCCATTGAAAAAGCTTAGTCTCCTCTAATAAGACGATGCCTGAATGTCTTCTTAATCAATGTTTCTACGAATAGGACTCGCTTCGGAAAATAAGAGCCGCAACAATATTACGTAATGTGGTTTATTTATATGTTAATATTCCATATTAACTATGCAAATATACATAATACATAAACTACAGAATACTATTTTGTATGATGCGACATTGTGTAGTCCTGTGGTTGAGAGACGTTTCGGAGGAACCTACTGTCTATATTTTCAGTGGCGAAGAATAAGTCAAGGAAAGAACTAACAATCATTATACACACTGGTTAATTGTTATAGTATTCTTTGATCCTGAAGAGGCGATCTTCTAACAACTACATGACGATACGCCCCAAGAGGTAGTAATTTTCAAAGGCGCCACTGTGAGAACTGAAATTCGCAGTTGTTAATGTCTTCAGATTGACAACGACCTACAAAACTGCTGGATCCAGTCTTTGTATGCAGAGGGAAACTTCTTTAAGCTGTAATTGTAATAGTATTTACAAGCCACAATACTTTGGAGAAGGAAATTTTGAGGAAAGCTGGTGGACCAGTGTCGAAGCAATGGATTTGGAGAAGCGGAGACAACCACAAATTGAACGAGTTCTGAAGAACCCTGTAACTGAGAGTAGATATGAAGAAGGTTGGAGTTTTTCAGTCAGCTAATATCTATTTTTTTTAATGTCAGATTGTACAAGAAACTGGGAAGTCCTAGATTCAGAAATGTGAAAGATGTAGAGAATGATTTACGACTGCCAAAATTAAAGAAAAGGAGGTAAAATGCGAATAGTAGAACAGAATGCAATCTGTTGGGAATGAAGAGTAGTTTCTTAAAGTAATGAGTTGGTAAACATATTCTCATAATCATCAATTTTATGGACATTAACATTTGTCCTAATTTTTTATTTAAAAAGATGTTTCGTGGATTGGACTCCGTCTCTTTCATATAGAAGACCTGCTAGCTCCTATCTCCCAACATAAAAGTAGCCCAAGATATGATGCATAAATGAAGTGAGACAACAGGCTACAAGAGTTAAGACGAAAGAGCAGTCCCTTTTACTTAATTACTTATGTAAATTATTACGATAAAATATCACGCCGAGGAGATATTCTTCATCTTAATCGTAACCCATTTATAGTTTATATTTACAGGCCGAATTTATAGGGATCCTCGTGTAATCAGTCAAAATCTGAGATCTCCTTCAGTAATAACAAATTTAGATTATAATAATTCTTTTTCTGTTAAAGTAAAATAAATATATCCCTGAAACAGGCCGTGAAGGCCCATGGGATTATGAGACGTCGAGGCTCCCACATTCTCTAGACAATCGGCTCACAGATGGCAATGAGATTGTCAGCCTTACGCACCGGCCGCCCTTTACCCCAAAGAATATTCCTGGTACTCATTTCTTTTAGAGGCTGAGTCGACCCCAGGGCCATAGTGCGGCTGGAAGGATTAGGTAAAATGAAAAAAAAAAATCCACCTCAACGGGATTCGATCCTGTCACCTTCCGGCTTTTAAGATAGTGCCTTAACTAGGCTACCGGGTGCTCCCATTTTTTTTCTGTTGATAACTAAAATTGCCATTTAACTTCCCGAAGTGTAAAGAATAAATGTCAATAAAATTTTATGGATTTTAGGCCTGATTTGGGGAAGACTTGAGGCGACTTCCCTGGTCACTCCACCTTCCCCCTTCGCACCTTAAATCCTTCCCTATGTTTCGTAATATTCTGAACGGCGTTCTTATTCTCAGTGTGAGGTACTGCATTTATCTACAGGTGCATATGATTTCTTATGTACTTACATAATTGTATTTCAGATCCGGATGTATATAGTCCACACCTGAAACAAATAACAATAAGTTTTAGGACCAGAATACTTGTAACTAAAAGTAAATATATACATTGTTACATAATTGTGACTAAATCCTCTAAGTCAAAGTGGTCAAAACATTTATTACCTGCTTTAACTTCATAAACAAGTAGCAGACAGCCTTTTCAGGCGTAGATAAGCTGCAAAGAATTCAAGGAAAGGGTATATTGTTAGATTCGAGACTTTAACAGAGGTGACTATGAAGAGTGTGTACATATTCCAGGATGTGACGCCTCACATTCCGGTTTGAAGTTTACTGAAGATCCAAAGGAAGATACTGACTCCGTCTGCAGGGTTGAAGAGTAAACCAAGCAAATACTCGTGTTTCTCTCAGATATCGATAACCTATCGGATTACAAGGCGTTATATATCGAAAGATATTATTCTTCAATTCTTACATTATTTACAATAATTAGATCGAACAATTTGCAATATATCTGAAGAGTTTAACAGCAAAATGGAAATTATCTTCATTCATGAAACTTGTACCTACATTTATTTTTTTCTTCTTTCTTGTTATTCGCATTTCATTCTAAATTCCTTCTCATTATTTATTAATTAGCATTACTACCGAATGTAGTATTCATTTGTTTCCCTTTTTGTTATAAAATCCTCCCTGATTTAGCCCCATAAGGAGCCCTTCTTCTAATCACTGTTTCGAGATCACTATAGAAACCATTTAATATAAAATTATTATCCTGGTACTGGAGGAACTGAGTAAACTCACGAATACCTGCAATAAGGATAGCCGGTCTTTGAACAGAAGTTCCAAACCGGAAACTCCTGAATACAGTGGAAGATTGTTGTCGGTAGAAGAAAGTTCTTTTAACTTCCTACTCCATTTTCAATATATTTCACCATAATTTGTGTGATAAGGTCATAAAAGCTATAGCTATCCATGTAATAAACAGACCGTGAAGGCCCACGGGTTTGTGAGACGTAGAGGCTTCCACATTTTCTAGAGAGTCGGCTCACAGATGGCGGCGAATTTGTCAGCCCTTCGCGCTGACCTCCTTTACCAAACAGAAAGATCCCTGGTACTCGTTTCTGTTAGAGACCGACTTGACCCCAGGGGCATATTGCGTCTGGAAGGATTAGATCAACTGAAAAACACAATGACCTCATCGAGAATCGAAACCATGACTTTCCGGGCTTGTAGCATAATGTCTCAACCAAATACGCTACCGCGTGCCCCTTGTTAAGTCCGTAGCATGTTTATATTATATAGTTTGAAAACGACATTCTCAACAACGGATATATTTCAAGCGAAATATTAAATGCTTTTGGCAGCGCTTCGTTTCACTTGCATTTCGCATCAATGTGGATTACAAGGTAAGCTATACAAGTAGAGTGGAAGTCTTCAGTCTGTTTTAATATCATTCCACATCAATGGGAAAATAAAAACATAGTTGGAGAACTGAAAGTAAATCTCTTCTGAGATGTGATGACCTGTAATCAGGGTAAACTTGACCTACATTTTGGGATCACTGCTCCATCTTCAGGATAAAGCTAATTGTTCTTAGCTCCTAGCTTACATTTCGACCTTGAAGATGGATAAAATACGTTCCTTCGAAACGTTTGTGAATTTCTACCTCATCATGTGCTGTCACACATCAGAAGTCATCCCAGTGAGATCCTCAAGTCTAGCAGAACAAATGTCTCTTATATCTAATATTGCATGCTTTGTAAGAAGTCAAGTGGTCTGAATGTAACATAATTATGTTATTGATTTTTATGCAATTGAAAAGCGGCAAGGACATGAAGCTCGCCATTCACCTCCATCTAGTGCCGAGGTCAAGAACAATGGAGCAGTAATTTCGCTATACAGTGCACTTTCTTGGTATGGTATTTAGTAAATTACGTAAGCATAGGGACAACTTTACGTTTTACCTTCATTTTGGAATGGCCAAGAAATGCGATTCGGAGATTGACACAGCGGGGAGATTTTGCGTTCTAAAATGTTTAACTTCAAATGATAATGTCCAGGATTTCTTTCTCAACCTGCTCCATACATTAACCCAAACTTTGTCTCTGTTATTGAAAAAACACAGTAATTTATACGCAACTTTATTCGGAATTTCTAAAGAGATCCGTCACTTCACGTAGCTATCGCCTCAACTTCCGCCACAGTGTGCCACAAAACAATGAACACAGTAGGTTTTGGAAGTTTTCCCTTTTTATTTAGTCGATAACTCATCAGATCAAAATAAATTCCGAAAAATGGGAGGGAGTTGCACGGGGTCCAACTCTGGAGCCGAACCGAGGTCCATCTGACCGCCTGTCGTGGCACACTGATGGAAAGAGGAGTTGGCTGAGGACGTTGACTAACTCCGTCATTGTTAAAATAACTTCCAGGGTCTGTGGCTGATTCGGGTTGCAGCCATATTGACTAATGCAGTTACAATACAGTCAGGGTTTTCCAGAGTCAAGGGACCGATAAGGTTGGTAATCTGAGAGAAAAGGACAGAGAATTAATGAGAGAGAGAGAGAGAGTCGGTGTCAGTAGAGCAACTCAAGCAGGTACTGGAGTTCATATCTATATGTATTGTGACATGTAGGACCGTTGCTAGGGAACATCTCGTAAACAAGCGCACAACAAATACTCAACCAACAATAGACCAGACTCATTTCTAGGCAACGCCCGCTATACACGCACGCAACTGTAGAACCTTGTTGCAAGAAGTTTTCTCTATCTTAGTCGCATGTATCCATTTAAATCAACGAATGTTTTCTGTGATGTAGTCCGACCCGAGACTATATAACCACAAGCCAACAATAACTGACATCCATCGTGACCCTGCGAATCATAGGAAGCGACTAAAATGGAAGTCTCAAATCTGAGATAGTAAAATATTGTTGCGAGCCTCAAGGGACTCGGACTCGAGAAGGACTGCGCTGGCAAGGGCCAGCAGCATATACAAAAGACAGACCAGTCCTCTTGTCAGAGAGAGGGCCTCACGAAAACAAGACCTTAACTGTCAAAGAGTCATAATTATCTGGTCATGAGTCCCAGGTGGGGCTCGACGCCAAGACTTACTGTCAGTCGCAATATGACTTTGACTGACAGTTCAGTTGGAAGTCAGAATAGTTCCAGTGGTGTGTTCAGTCGGAAGAAGATGACAGTGTGTCAGATAGTGATTTGTGAAATGTTGTAACAGGTTATACATATAAACGTCCAATAAATTCGATCATCAAATCGAAACCCGTCTTATTAATCACGCAAACCTCGGATACGTTACAGTATTATATATAAATAATAATAATATACTTCTTTATAATGTCACTAAATTGTGTCAAGATTTTGTCATGTTCCTGACCGAATTTCCCTTGGACTCACCCTCTGTGACGGCTGCCTTGGAGACACTAACTCTACCTCGCGGTGTTTGTCCGAAGTGAATCTAATAAGTGATATAGTGGAAAATTACAAGACAGTAAGACCGCCGACCACGTTAACCTGATTATGTTTGGGGAACTTCCGTTTCCAGATATATCTAAAGCAAATGTTTAGTGTTACATCTATGCTTGTGGTGCTTTCAAATAAAAATGTAGACATTATATCACCCAAACAGAAGTTCATATTAATCAATTCACAATATGAATCGGCCCAGAGAGCCTATCATTAGATGATTCTTGAGAAATATGCGAATGATAACGGAACGCATAAAAACTACGTCTTAAGAATCAGGTGATTGTCTATATGGACAGAAATATTTTGTGAATTAATAAAAACGCTCGTTTGTGTAACCGTAAAAAAAAAAAACTCCTTTCGTTTAGTCCACAAGCGAAATATACCGACCGAGCGACCGCCTCTTGTCGACGAAGTTAGTGCCAACTTTAGCGGTTAGAGAGTGTCGCGTGCTCAGAGCAACGAATCCCCACTGCTGTTAATTTCGGTTTTGTAGACCGGAGCCACTATTTTTCTATTCAAGTAGCTCCTCAGTTATCCTCACGAGGCTAAGTGTACCCCGTTCCAGACCCACTACTTCTCAGAAAATCTGGTAGCGCCGGGAATCGAACCCGGGACCTCTGGATCTGTAGCCATGAACTCTGACCACTAGACAACAGAGGCGGTCTGTTAACTGTTATAGCAGCAAAAAATTCCTGTTCTTCTTCATAGCTCTACTTGTAATGTAGGATCCGTTTGGGTACTGTTCGCTCTCTCACGGCACGTAAATACAAGTATACCCAGTTCTGTTTTACTGGATATTTATTTGGTCGTATATTGAATTTATTTCTGGTCCCTGCTTATTTATTGATTCTGTATTCTGCCTTGTGCACCATTAAGTGACAGAAGAAATTTTATGTACACTGAATTCTACAGAGTGGCCCAAAAGTCAGTTAACATAAAACATTCTCTCGTATTATAGGGAATGTTCAGATTTAAACCTGCCAGTCAATTTGCAGAACCGTATCACAGCGTTGTGAGTTGTGCATTGAACATGGAGGCTCTCATTTCGAAAAGTTTTTTTGTGAATTCAATAAGTAATTAAAGAATTTCTAATAAATTGTCACGTGTTTTCGTGTGACTATAGACGGGGTTTGAAATGGCAATCGGATTTAATGAATATTTACAGAACGTGAATACTAATAACTGCAACAGTTTCACTGAGTTACACACTCCATTAATCACTGTAAAATCTTTTCAGTTTGCCACATCTTTATCATTCGCTGCCTAGCGACGTATTGCAACAATGTCCTCGCGTTCTCATCGGTTAGTGACTGTTTCACAATTATCTCCTATTCTTCTAACTGCGGTTTCAAGACATTTTTCTAAGTCAAAGTCACATTGCGACTGACAGTCAGTCAGTCAGTCAGTCCTGGTGTCAAGCTAATTTGGAGCTCCTGACATTTGTTTCCGTTTGACAGTTTAGGTCTTGTTATTGTGGGGCGCCCTCCCTGACGAGAAGACGAGTCTGTGTTTTGTCAGAGTCATTGTCTATAGTAGTAATTCATTTGTCGTAACGTGAAAGATATTTACATTTTACACGTTAAACGTGATAATGAAGGTATTAAATATACACAGGGCCTCTGTCAGTCCAGGCTCAGTACAGAAGATTATGCCCTATTTCTAGTAGCTTCCGCTAAAATGGCAGTCTACTCATTTGGAAGGTCATATGCTTGACCGCTGCCAAGTTTAAGCCTCTCATACTTTCTATTTTTTTTTCTAATCCCAACTTTCCTAGTTATATAGCTCGGCAAGGACCGCATAGAGAACATCGCCTCCAACAGCTCGTCTATTTTTGCGGGAGTGTCTGTTTCGGTCCTTACCTAGCAACGTCCATTGTTTACAGAGCCATTACTTAGCAACGGCAATTGTCTAGTTGTTCGTTTAGAGCTCGTTGCCTAGCAACGGGTCTACATGCCACAGTATTTTAACGTCAGATTTTCTAATCTGTTAACTGAGTTTTGGAACCAGTCAATATTAATATTTTTGTATATAAATGTCAGCTCTTCAGTTCATAATAGGGTGACCAAGAAATAAGCACTTAAGAGTTTATTTATTTGTGGTTTAATTATGTGAATATTGCACAAAAAATGACAAGTAAATAAATTGTTCTGTCCGGAGGCGTATGACACCCTTTGAAATTTAATCTGAACTTCAAAGTCAAGAAACATTTCTTGTGAATTTTACATTATATTTAATTTTCTTGGGAAGTTTCTATATATGTGTGCTGGCCCAAAAGTAACCTAACTGGCTAGTAAAATTTACATTACGTAAGTAAGTAAGTAAGTAAGGTTGGTTGGCGTCTTTAAACCTCAAGATGGCCTTAATATTGGAAAATGTTTGATTTACTGCCTTTTGGCCAATTCTGTGTATTATTGTCACGTTTTAGGGACGTAACCATAGACGGGGTATGGACTGGATATGGGATTTACTGACCATCTATATACACCACTCGGAATTACAAGTAATTACAGCGCTATCGCTAATCTCCAAAATTCACAGATCACTACAACACCATCTAAACCTTTTTCCAGCCTGCTGTGTCTTAACCAGCTGTTCCCTGGCAATGTCTTCTAACAGTGGGGATTCTTCAGCTTTCCGCGCTCAGGACCGCTTGTTACAGAAGCCCGCGCAGAACTCCTCTCAACTGTCAAAAACTATACCCCCATCTCTTCTCAGCCTCCCTTGCAGAGCTCAACTGCACTGCCAACCCTCAACCATCAACACTCAATTACTTTTAACTGGCCTGGGGTCCTATTTATATAGCCTCGGGGCAGAACCGACAAAAACACCGCTTTCAGCAGTTCTTCTATTGTTGTAGACGTGATTACCGATCCATTGTCTAGAAACGGCAGTTTGTTGATGTACCTATTGCGCAGCAAGGGATATGTATGCTACATTATTTATCCTCAAATTTTTAAGCGCCCTGACGTGACACTGCGTGAACTAACTGAGCCTTCGAGGGAGCCACTCACCGTCATCCATGATTGCTGTCGTGACATTCTTTCCTGTGACGCCTTGGGCCCAGGCAGCTTCTACGTTGAGATCCAGTTTTGCCTTGCCGCCGTTCTGACCGGTGTTCTTCAGGTACCATTGGAAAGGGAAGTAGGGGTCGCTTGGGTCCTGCTGCGGCCTCATGTGGTGCACCAGGTTCTCTACCCGCAGGGGCTTGTAGCCTCGCTTTACCCTCTTGAAGCCCGTCTGCTGCACCGCCAGCTGCACCTGCATCACGACAGAAGCCAAAGTTAACCCCAGAAGTGTCAAGCGTCGTAAATTCCGACTTTTACAAAAAAAAAAATCGCTTAGTGGGGAGTGGAGTCCAACTGGCTCCACTCGGCACGGGGCCACTGATTGGCCTATTGTAGCCTGCCCCGGGTGATTATGATGATGGAGAATTTAGTGGAATGAAGATTGGCAGGGGAAACCGAAGTACAAAGCGCTATTTTGTCCACCACAAAGCCCACTTGTCCAGACCCGGGATCGAACCCGGACCGCCGCGAAGGGAAGCCAGCGACTAACCGCTTGAGCTATGGCGCGGTCGACTTTTACAAAAACTGTTATATCTGACCGCATGCGACATCTATTGGCTCTTTATCTGAACTGCATAGCCAAGAAATAATTTGAAAGGAAATCCTGCTTTTATTTTGAAGTTCGTAGTAAGTCATTACGTATTATTTATTCATGAAAGAAGAGCAACTCTAACAAACTAAAATTGCGGTTTGTCACTGTAGGAATTAGGACTCTATTCCATGAACATTGTGTCAGGGCTTAGCCTTGTGGCGGTGTAGAAATAGATCCGTTTAAATCGGTGAATCGCTAAGACGCTCCAGAAAGGCTAATAGAAAAGGAGCCTTAAAGCATGAACTTCTAGTGTTAAACTGAGTACATTAACGTGTAACATTGGCATTCGTTGATCAGCGGCTTCGTGAATTTAGACCGTTACATTATAGTCGCCATCTCTCGAATGCACGTGAAGCTAAGTTAAAGTCAGACCACAACTGACAGCCAGCCACTCTGTTTAACATCGAGTTCCTCTCGGGGATGTATGAGTTTATGGCTTTGGTTGTCTTGAAGCATTCTCTCTGGCGAAAATGTTAGTCTTTTCTTTGTCAGAACTCTTCTTTCCTTTGTCATTGCTTATATTCACATTACATGCGTGAAATGTCCATTCTTCTACATATGCGAAACAGTAATTTGACATTCGCTCCGCGCCAGTTGCAGCGAGTTCACACGAACGCCGACACTGGCGCCACGTGACGGCTTGCTTTACATTACTCGTCTCCCTTCATAAACGTTATATGTTTCGTGGGTGGGACGTAGTATTTCAGTTCGAAAATTTGTTTTTCAATCAGCGAATACTGCAGTTGTAGCTCAAAGGCCGAATCGTCTTCTGCCCTGTGGTCATAATAACATGAAATCCATTTGTTCGTGATGTACGCTACGTTCTCAGTGCCTGACAGATGGCGTTGAAATTTTGAATGTTATTTGTGTAATCTATTTTATTATAACACAGATCAGAATTTTATTACACACTGAATGACTCATCAAATATATTATACGTGTGTGCTACGTCAGATTTTATTCAAATGTGTACGTCCCTCAGTTTTAGAGGAGATTTTTGTATGTAATATACCCACGCTATATAATATTGATGCTGAAATCCTAGTTTAATAACCAACGTCACACAGACATTGGAAATTAAGAAAGTTTAATAAAGATTTGTCTTTGTACAATATGTAGGACGCTGGAGGGAGGTGGCGTTGACAGGTAATTAAAGAACTGATAAAGGAGTGATGAAGAGAAGAGAGAAGGAGATAAAATTAGGAGGGGGTTGAAGGAAGGAAGATACGTGTTGCTTCATGAATATATAATATAAAAAACATTGCCTTGATGGATACAATCTGCGTATTAACTAAGGCGTCAGACAGATTAGAGAATACAATTTTTATATACAGTGTGTAAAATATATTTGAGGCTGAATAATCATCATATATTGGACTATACAGATATATCACCATCAGAAAATTATTAGATTCAAATTGTACCATATGAGGGGAAATAACACCGTCCTTCCAAAGGGGTTTTTGTTGTTCTGCAAGGTTGCCTTATCAGTATGACGAAAGCTCAGAGATGTTTTAGACAGACAATAACACATGTAGAAAATTTGTGTTTAATTTTTCAGTAGGCATTATGGGTCTACTGATGTTTACAGAACATTTAAAATGTGTATGCAATACAAAGCGTATGTTAGGTGGGTCTCCTCTCACCACGGCATGGCGCGTCCTCAGGTTACGGATGCAGGAGACGGCTTCCACATATGGAGGGAAGTTGCGGATATATTGAATAAGCAGTCGCGGACGGCCGACAAGGGATGGCCCCCCAGCTTGGGGGTTGGGCGTGGGGCTAACAACTACTCACCGTAAAAAATAATCATTTACGAATATGAACACAAAACCTCGGACCTGGATGGATTCCTTGGATAAACGACCACGAGGACTGCATATAGGATATTGGTGGGAAAGCCAGAAGGAAAGAGACCACTAGGAAGACCAAGGCGTAGGTGGGTGGACAACATTAAAATGGATCTTAGGGAGATAGAATGGGATGGTATCGATTGCATTGATCTGGCTCAGGATAGAGACCAGTGGAGGGCTCTTGTGGACACGGTAATGAACCTTCGGGTTCCATAAAATGCTGGGAAATTCTTGAGTAGCTGCAGAATTGACGACTCATCAAGAAGGGCTCAGCTCCATGAGTAAGTAAGTAAGTAACACAAAACACTTACATCGCCTCCATCAGTCCAGGCTTTGTAGAGCGGATTATCCTTTATGTTTCTCAGCTAATCGGCCTACTATGGACAGCTAAATCATTTGAGCGGGCGTATGGCGGTCAATGGAAGATATGGAGCTCGAACAAACATTCGTCGCCGCAGGAAAATTCGTATTAAGAAATTTTCTCTCATGCAAACTTGCCATCCAAACGCGAACTCGATCATCCGAAGTCACTTCCGAACAAAAACGAGAATGTGAGAACAAAAAACGGCAACAAACGAACTGGTCACAGTCAGTTCGCCGAATGCCCTGATCTGGTGTACATCTTTCACAAGAAATTTCTAAATTAAAAGAAATATTAATTTTGTTTGTTATTTTTATAGCACAATATGGTCTCCACTGTTTATAGCAATGTTTGTCAACTGTGGTCCGAGGACCATTGGTTGTACGGTCCATCAGATGGTCCCTTGAATAATGCCGTCCGTATAGTATTATATTACACGTAATAAATAAAAACATTTGAGTTTTAAGAAGCGAGGAAACGTTGTTTAAAAAAATACTTTAAATTTATAGCTACAAAAGTGGTTTATGGCATCTTTAACTAAAACCTTTCTCCTATTCGCAGGAAAGAAGCTCGGTTGAATGTTCGTTACGGTTAGAGGGAATGTTATGATAGCCGAGTGATGGTCGCGTGCGCCGACCGTCCATGTAGTGGTCCGCAGCTGCCGGAAATTCGATAAACACTGGGCTATAGCAAAAGCTAATATGTTTCCGACGCTTGTCTGCTTCGTCTCATGGAATAAAATCGACAATTTATATTGTTTTGCTCGTTCCGGAAAGTAACCTCCAATTCTAATCTTGCGCCTATGGGAAACACAGACTCGGCACGTTGCGATACATCGCTTTACTATCTCTCTGCCGGAACATCACTCTCCCTAAGAGCGGGGAATTCCCGTATGCAGATCTCGCAGTGGAGTAGGGGAGAGGGGCGGATTTGCGGAGCGAGGTGCTATCCAATGGGAAGGATCCATGTGGATAAGAGGAAAAGTTAGAAAGAGATAGGCGTTGAGGTACTATACTCAGCTTATATCGGCCTTAGCCGTAGCGTTCGGCGGGGGGGGGGGGGGGCTAAAAGTCTTTCACTGGCTTCGGTGGCCAT